CTTTTTATGATCTGTATGGTTTTCCACACCTCCTCGCCCCCCCTCCCCCGCACCCCGCCCCTTATTGCACTGGCAAGAACTTCCAGTCCTATTTTGAATGAAAGTGATGAGAGCAGACATAGTTGCTTTGTTTCCCATCTTAGATGGAAAGCATTCATTCTTTCACTATTAATTATAATGTTAGCTGTAGTATTTTTGTAGATGCTCTTTATCAGGTTGAACAAGTCCTCTATTTCTGATTTTCTGGGTTTATTATTATGAATGAGTATTGAATGTTGTAAAAGTTTTTCTGCATTGATTGATGAGATCATATAACTTCTTTTGCCTTAAATATGATGGAAGTAATTTTCAAATATTAAAATATTTCAAATATTGCTTGAGTACAAACAAGCCTTGCATCCCTGGAATTAACCTCACTTTGTCATGTTGCATAATTCCCTTTATGTATTTCTGAATTCCATTTGCTAATATTTTGTTAAGTGTTTCTGCATCTCTATTCTTGAGGTATGTTAGTCTGTAGTTTCTTTCATTTTTTTATCTTTCTTTCTGTAGCAATATCCTCTGTTTCATTCTTGATATTGGCAATTTGTGTCCTCTCTATTTTTCCTTTTTTATCATTTGTATCGATCATATCAAAAGGCAATTCTTATTGCATTTTCCCCCGTGTTGTTTTTTTGTTTTCAGTTTGATTTCTGTTATTTATTATTTATTTCCTTCTATTTGCTCTATGTATATTTATATTTTGCTGTTTTTTCTCTAGATGTTTGAAGAAAGAACTTTAGAGTATTGATTTTAGACTTTCCTTCTTTTCTAATTTAAGCTTTAAGTGATATAAAATTTCCTGTCAGTATTGCTTTAGCTGTTTCCCACGAATTTTGATATATTAAATTTTTATTTTCACTAAATGCTTTTTTTTTTTTTTTTTTTTTTTACTTTTCCTTGATACTTCTTCTTTGACCCATGGATGACTTAAAAGTGTATTATTTTGTTTCTAAATGTTTGGAGATTTTCCTGTTATCTTTCTCTTGATTTTTATTTTTATTTTATTGTGATCAAAGAGCACATTCAATCATTTAAGTTCTTTAACTTTGTTGAGGTTAATCTTATGGCCCATAACATAGTCTCTCTTAGAATATGTTTTGTGGGCTCCTGAATAGAATATTTATTCTGCTGTTCTACAAATGTCAGTTAGATCCTGTCAATTGTTTGAGTGTTGTTGCATTCTTCCGTATCATGGCTGATATTTTGTCTAGTTGATCTATCAAATGTTGAGAGAGGTATGTTTTAGTTGTAGTCTTCAACTTTAACTGTGGATCTGTTGACTTTTGCTTTCAATTTCATTAGTTTTTGCTTTATGTAATTTGAATCTATGTTGTTTGGGGCATACACATTTAAGACTGTTATATCTTCTTGGTGGATTGACCCTTTCATAATTATTTAATGTCCCTCTGATTCTGATCATTTTCTTTGCTCTGAAGCCTGTTTCATCTGATAATAGTACTCCTCCCCTGCTATATTTGTATTAATGTTTACATGATATATTTTTCCCATCTTTTTACTTTCATCTTGCCTATTTCTCTATATTTTCTTATAGACATCATGTAGATGGATCCTGTTTTATAATTCACTCTGCTAATCTCTTTTAATTGGTTTATCTTAACCATTTACACATAGTGCAATCATTGATATATTATGACTTAAGTCTTCCTTTTTAATTTTTGTTTATTCTTTATTGTTCTCTCCCTGTTTTTCATTTCTCTGTTTTCTTTTTCCTGGCTTTATGTGGGTTGCTTGAACGTTTTTTAGAATTTTATTTTAATTTATAATGTTTTTGTGCATATCTCTTTTTATAGCTATTCTGTTGGTTGCTCTAGGCATTAAATTGTATATACATAACTTATCACAGTCTACTGGGTCGACATTTTGCCAGTTTGTGTGAAGTGTAGAAACCTTACTTTTTTTTTTTTACATGAGGCACAAAGAATTATTTTTAAAGCATTACAGAGAGAAACAAATATATGGAATACAAATATAAGGCCAGCCAACCAGCTAATAAAATATACCCACTTACAGTATTATATATTTACAAAGACTTCTCAAATTTCATCACCCCACCAGGCTAATGTGAGTGTACCAGGAGAGACAGAACATCAGAATTATAGATTGTTAAGACCTTATTGTTCATTCATCTAGTTCCTTCGAGGTATGAGATTTTATTCCGATAAACACAAAACAAAGAATGTGCCAGCATCTAAACTTAGGTAAATCATCTGAAGATTTCTCCTCTGCTTGGCCCAATTCCTTTAGCATCTCACACTCCATTAGACCTCTCTTCTGTGACTTGCTTCCCTGAGGGCCTAACATGCTAGGGTCTGGTGACCCACGAAACTGGAAACAAGCTTAAAACAACTGAGTACTTGTTGCAGGTCAAGTTAGTTTGTTTAAAGCAATCTCTTCCTGGTATGTCTGTTGCAAGTGGTATAAGTGTGTGAGCAGCCATGCACCTCACACCTGCTCTCCATCATCAATGCCTAGCTACTCCCTCACAACACCCAACCTAATTCTTGTGCCTACCGCAGAGGGAAGAGATGTGGATGGAGGCCGACTAAAAGTTCTTATTCATTCTGGTCAACTGATTGTTTTCTAATTAATTATTAAAAATATCTACTCTAAGGGATTATGAACACCTCATTGCTAGGTCTCACAATTTATAAAAGCTACAAAAACAGAGGTCACAAATTGCCAATATCAAAGCTGGAAACCTTACTTCTTATACCCTGTTACTCTCTTCATTTATAATATGATTGTATTAAATATTTTCATTGCGTGTAGAACCATATCGGTGTTATAATTTTGCTTCAACTCCAAATAAAATTTCAAAAACTCAACAGTAGAAATGTCTATTATATTTGCCTATATTTTTTTCCTTTTTTTTTTTTCTTTCCACAGATCTTGAGGTTCTGTCCATTGTTTTTTTTGTTTGTTTGTTTCAGTCTGCTTCCTTTGTTGTTCATATTGGTTAATTTCTATTATTTTATCTTCAAGTTCACTGATTCTTTTCTCTGTACCTCCATTCTGCTATTGGACCCATCCACTGAGTTTTTTATTTTTATTCATTTCTTAGTTCTAAAATTTTCATTTCAAAAATATTTCTTTGCCAAGACTTTATATTTTTTTGCTGAGGCTTTCTGGTTTTTTGTTTTGTTTGTTTGTTTTGTCTTGTGTGCATTTGTAATTGCTCTTCGAAGCATGTTTGTAATGGCCGTTTTAGAATCTTTGTCAGATAATTTTAACACCTGTGTCATCTCAGCATTGTCATTTATTCTATTTTTATTCAAGTTGAGATTTTTTTCCTAGTTCTTAGTATAACAAGTGATTTTTTTATGGCAACCTGTACATTTTGAGTATTATATGAAACTCTAGATCTTATTTAAACCTATCTCCACTGCTCTGAGAGAAGTGGAGGGGAATAGTGGGGAATAGAGGTAGAAGTTCAGATTTCCCACTTGGCTTTCATTGATACCTGTGAGAGAATGAACTCCTTGTTACTGCTGGGCATATATGAGTTCCAGCTTCCTCCTAGGCTTCCGTTGACATCACCCTGGCTGGGTGGGCCAGGAGTGCCTTGGTACTCTTCCCCATGTGGCTTCCACTGATGACACTGGAGGAAGATGGGTGTGTAGAAAGTAGCCTCAGTACCCCTGCGCAGTGGTGAAAGTCCTGATTCTCTGCTAGGCCTATTTTGATTCTATGACAGAATGGTGAGGAGGGATGTTTGGTTTCTAGTGTCACATGGGGGTAGAAGTCCAGGTCCCCTGGTGGTCTCCACTGTTTTGGTGTTTATGGGGAGAGGAGGACTCATTACAAGCCTGCAAGGATCAAAGTCCCAACACCCTGTCCTGCCTTCTCTCATACCACTCAACTGGGCTATAGAGACTCCTCATTACAACCTGATGAGGATGGACATCTGGGCTTCCCAGTCGCCCTTTGCTGATGTGCATGGTGTTAGGTCACAATTTTTCTGTGATGTTTGCCTAGAGTAGAGCAGTTATTTTCTAAAAGTTTTCTGTCTCACTAGGCTGACCCTTTCCTATTCCTTTGGTTAAAGAGAATAAGCTTTTGTAGGGGCTTTTTTGTCTGTACCTGTTATTGCTTCCAAGTTACCAGGTTCTTCATTTGCGAGTCTGGGATATAAGAGGTAAAAAGAAAACCCAGTAACTCACTACTGTGCTGTTCCATAAGTCCCAAAGACTCTAGGTCCTACCTGGTCTGCCTTCTCTCCACATTTCAGTGTCTCCTTATATTTAATGTATATATAATGTCAGTCATTTTAGTTGTACTTAATGAGAAAAATAGGGGAAAGTATGTGTACTCCATCTTCCCAGAAATGGAAGTTGTAATTTTTTCTTGATGTTAAACAGCACTACCTGTGTTTGAGGTATGAGTGCTAAAGAGTCTTCTCAAATCAGATGTCTGAGAGGAACCAGGAAAATTTGTCTGTTACCAGACTTCTTTACTATTTAAATTTGAGGCATTTCAGTGACTGTGGTCCATTTGAAAGCATTCCTTTGACATTTGATTTACATTTGATGTCATGTTATTTGAAAGATTAGAGCTGTCAGAATGTCTGAAGGTTTTATTTTTAAATAGCATTTATTTCTATGTCTGGGTAATTCTTTGAGCCTGTTGATAGTCTGCTCATTCCCTGCATTTTTCCCTGAAGCATCCTAAGGCTATCATCTACCAGAGTAGGAGAACTTGAGGGAGCTCAAGCCCAGGCCTTCTTTCATTACTCCTTCTGACACAGGACTTTCGCTGGAAAAGTAAAATCAGATTTTTTGTTAGTCACTCTTGAGCTTATGAGGGCAGCTGTCATTCAGTGGGCTGGCTTGGTTTTATCTGTCCATAGCAGGCGAGTCATTGCTCTTTATATTTCTGATTTAGCAAGAACATGAGGGGAATCCAGCTTTGCAGATAACTGTTTTCTTTTCCTTTTCCAGGCAAAAACTTATTATCCCAAACAGAAGTTGCCCTGTTATTCTGAATACTTACTTTTGTCAGAAAGTTGTTGCCAAAGAAGATTTAAGAGCAACACATGAAGTGCACCGTTGGGACATACCCCTTCCAAGAAGAAGCATCACTTTGGCCCAGATGTTTAGATTTGAGTCTAACAAATAATTCATCTGAAATCCAGGTAAACTTTCATCAGCTTAAATGTTTTATGCTTTGTAATAATATTGGATTTGAAAGGGTTTTGGAATAAGTGAAGATGTTTACCTTCAATATTCCTCCAAATATTCAACAAATATATATGCTAGAGCATCTTATAATTATTGTTATTCCTAAAGAAGTTATAGTTTAGTTGCAGTCTATAGTATTTCATCTTTTTAATTATGTATTTTAATCTTTATTCTAATTTATTAAATATGAGTTTTCATTTTTTCTGTTCTCATACTTGTCTTAGATTTTTGTTTAAGCCTTTTATTTATTAAAAAAAAATATATTTTTCTTTTTCACAATATTTGTATCCCTTGGGATAAAAAGAACTGCATAAACTTATTATCAACTGGAGATTGTTTTTTGGAACTGTATTGGCCCTGAGCCATGATCATCTGCCAGTATGAATTTAGGGGACCACTGAACTTCACTTGCATCGGGCATTAAGAGCACTCCTGGGGCCACTCCAAGCTCTGTGGCTTCCAGTGTGCCTTCTTCAGGATCACCAGCTTACCTGAATCAGCACTGAATGCAATGCAGATACTGACAGATAGTGTGAGGGGAAATAAGAAAGAATTCTGCTTGATTACACACACAAAACAGGACAAAAGTTTGTTTTGTGTGTGTAATCAAGCAGAATCTCTCTTTGACTATCAAAAGAAGTGTCTGGAGGGCATAATGCAAAGAGAGACCTCTCTAATCAATTTAATTGTATCAGATTTGAAATATGGCTCAAGGTTCATCACTGCTCTAAATTCATGAGATATGTTTTCATCAGCAGTGATGATGATAGTGCAGTATGGCATAATGGTTAAGAGTATGAATTTTGGAACCAGATGTTCTGGTTCAGTTCTGCCTTAGCCACTTTATTCTAGGTGACCTTGGGCAAGATATTTAATTTCTCTGTGTCTCAGTATTTTTAGTCATAAAATGGTGATAATGATATAATCTATCGCCTTGGTTTGTTGTAAGGTTAAATATATTTATTATGTAAGCACAATATGTAAAGAAAAGTACCTGGAATGTAGGAAGTACTCTATAAGTTTTCTTATTATGATATTTAATATTATTGTAAATGATTGTTGGGAGACTACATGAGCATGTAAAGTGCCTAGCCTAATAGACTGCACATAACAAGCATTAAACCCTAGTTATTTTTTTATTTTGTTCTTTAGTTTGTCCTGTTAGGATTGTTACCTCATAAAAGAAAAATTTTCTAAATTACTATGAGATATTTTAACAACAGAATTTTCTTCATGTTTTCAAAGTCTCAAGATAGTCTATGCTTTTATTGAGAGAAACACTCTTTGCTGTTTCTGTTACTCTTGATCACCTTGCCCTCCTCAGCAGCATTAGTTACCTGACAGACATAGAACTCCTTGCCATAGGTTTGTTTTTTATATTTATTTTTCCTTTAGTGTTCTGCCTTTGCTTTAGAGAATTACCTAAGAATGTCAATATTTTGGTATGTGTAGTTTGCCATCATGAGTCAAACTGAAATTGTTCTCTTTGCATGTCTTGGCCAGGTTGTGTAGTCTTCTCACCACCATGGGGACAAACTGGACCCATAGGCATGAAGAAGCAAAACAGCACTTCTCACCCCAAGCTCCCCTGAGGGATTCTCTCCTGGATGCAGTAGAAAGCCATGGTCAGGAGTTGGAGTCCTAGTAGTGGTGCAGAGAGTTTATTCTCTTCCCTACAGGTATCATCAGGGAGGTAGTTCAGCTACTCCATCCAGCTCACACCTACCTAGAGTTCAGTGAGTGACAAGACACAGACATGGGTGCCTAGAGTCACTTAGAAAAGCAATGACTCTTCCAGGAGCAATTTCTTGGCTGCATTTCTCACATACATGGGTTGTTTTTGTTTGTCTTGCCTCATAATTTGGGAGAAAGGGTTCTGTCTATTCGTTTACATAAAAAGTCCTACTAAAATAATTTAATTTGTTGCATTTACTTTTACCGTTAACCAGTTCATGTTATTTCAAGTAATACAAACACAAGAAATATTGGTATTGTTGTAGAAAAGCCAAGACATATGGTTACCATACCTAAAAAGACCAGTGTATAATCTATCAAGTTTTACATCTCTTAAAAAACTGAGTAAGTAAATGGCAATTAGTAAATCTGTAAATTAACCTTTTAGAGAGTGCTGTTTTAATCTACGTTATTTCTACCTGATAAAGCTTCTGCAGATATAAATGTTGTATATCGGAACTATCCAATGAGGTAGCTGCTTACTACATATGGTTATTGAGCACTTTGAAATGTGGCTAGTGGGACTGAGGAACTAAATTCTATTTAATTTTAATTAACATATTAAGTAGCCCCATGTGGCCAGGGGCTAGCTACCTTGTTGGACAGTACAGATAGATGGATACATGAACAAGGGCCAAACACATGATTCAGAGTACTTTGCTCAAATGAATTATGAGAATGATGTCTTCTTTCTTTCTCAGATTTAGGCCCTTCCTGGTTTTATGTTTTTTTAGATAAGCACATCGTTGACTGAGAGTTTATTTATTTATGTCAAATTCTTGGCATAACCATTTGAGTTTGTCTTTCTTTCTTTAAGTTGCTCTCAAGGCAGTAATATGGATTTACAACAGAATGGAAATTAAAAGTATAGATTCTAGTTTATCAATTATTTTTCTATCTACTCTTAAAAATACATATGTAGATTAATAACAATTAATAACCATTCTATTTTAATGGTGCCTTCTGATGCTATTTAGAAGGCATAATAGGAAACACTTTTATGTTAACTATGAATCCTCTTTAAGTGGATGGCACATGATTTGAATCAAAAAGTCTCATTTAGATGTGGAGTTAGAGGATATTTATTTTGGATTATAGAAAAAAATTATTTTTATTTTGTTTAAAATATGCATGTGTGTAAAATCCATTACATCAGTTTTAAGGTTTTTACCATGACTTGTGCTATAGACCAGTCTTGAACTCTTTGACTTAAGTCTGTGGTAAATCTAAATAGAATTATCTGAGACAGTTAAAGATTAAATGTAGGTATCATTTTGCTTTGCTTTTTTTTATGGTATATATCTACTGTTAGGTTTAGAAGAAGGGAATACTGAGTAAGCTAGGCAATAAGGATCTTGGTAAAGCTTTCCCAACCGAGCATACAGACCACATACTCCAAGGAGATGCAGACAGTGGGGTCTGAGTTACAATAATGAGAAGGCAAAATGAAACTGACAGTAAGGTCAATTATGAATAATCACAAACAACATGGACCTTGAAATCTGTCTCTCCAGCTCCTTCGGAGGTACCTGTTTTGCTTGCTGAGCAAAAAGAAGAAATTGGAAGCTAAAGTCTGGTGAATTAGTGCCAGTGGTCAGCATTATGAATGCTTTGGGACATATCAAATGAGACTGTGCTCATGGTGGGTCGAAAGAAGGCCAGTCATGAACATTTAGTTATTCAAATGTTCAATGAAATGCATTTGCGTGTGGTATGTTTCTTGTAGTACACATGAGATTGTACAGTGCTGAGGCTAGAGTCCCATTTCACAGATGAGGAAACAGCCTGTGAGAGATCTTTACTTGCTGACAGTTTTACAAGTGAACAAAAAGAAAACCGTAATGAGATAAAGAATCCCAAAATGACAAGGATGTATTGATGCCGAAAATGGAGAAATTTGAGTTAGAACTAAGGTGTGTTTAGATTAAGGCTGACTCAGGAATCAAGTCATCCTGGGGCAGCCAGAGAAGTGAAAGTGCCCAGCAATGGAGAGAATCGGACTGTGTAGGAAAATGAACTTTTAGACAGAAGGCTATGCATTTGGCCTTGGGTTTGAGGGCAAGGCTTCTGAGATGTCTTTTGGGAACAAAAAGGTCTTATTGTGTAACTGATCATTAATATTTTTTGGATTCATTTACTATAGTGATCAGGCTCTCTAGTTTACAAATAAAACTAATATAGAAGTAAAATTATACTTAACCTTCTACTAATTCTTTGCTAATGTGTATATGAAGAAAAACAAAGTATCTGCCTTGGAGACTCATTTAATATGTTTTCTCTAATGTAAACTTTTTTATACATGCACATATAACATGTACATAAGAGAAAACATTAGAAGTCTTAGGTATATAGCTTGAAAGAACCCTTTCTTTTCTGTTTGCAATTTCTATCCCTAACTTCTTGACCATAGATAAATTTGAATGACCCCTTGTGCAACACATTTGAGTTATTCCTGTCCAGAGGCATGAGTGCAGCAGCCACAGAAGGGAAATTGCACAGTGACCCCTTAGCTCTGAAGGCAACTCTTAAGTGTGTTCTCTTATCATAATCTGCTTTAACCCATAGATCTTTCTCAGTGAACTGAAAGACAACTTTGATCACTGTGTTTTCTTTTTTCTTTTTTTATATGAGATTTGTAACATTTTGTTAAAGATGAACAGCGTTAGAACAGATCTAAATGTAACTTTTCAAAAAAATCACCGAAAAGTGATTTTTTCGCCTCACTAAATACGAACTTTCATTTTGTGATGAACTGCATCAATGTTTTGCATACACCTCAATGCAAAGGAAATTTTAAGTTGTGTCCTGTTTAAAGAAAAACTTTAAAAACTGAAAGAGGATAACTACAACCACATTCCAAGAAAGGAATTTTTTCTCCAACAAAGTATATTCTTTTGTTTATATACAACAAATTAGCACTGAAGAATTTTAATTTAGTTGTAACAAAAGCAAAGTTTTATATTTGAGAAGAAAATGAAATTACAGGTGCATGAAGAGCAAGAGTTTAATATACCAAAGATACTGTGTTGTTTGATACACTTAATGTCAGTATTTGGGCCAATTTTTAAGGTTTTTCAAAAGCATTAATAATAGCTCTGTACAGTATTTAAAACAACAAGAAAATGAAAACATCTATCTACCATATTTTCACAAACTATCCTAAAGTCAGCAAACTTGTGCCCAGTTGTTTTTCCTTTGCTTTAAAATAAGCTACCAATAATTCTAAACCAGTCTAAAATGTATTGTTCATGGATCAAATCTAAACATTCATACATGCAAAAATGTTTTGCAATGAGTCATTGGCCTTAGGAGAGACTAGAGGTAATTTTCAAATGGTGTGACTGGCTTCCAATAATCCCTTATCAGTGGACTTACTGACAAAATATGAGATATTAAAGATCAGATTTAATTCTTTGGTATAAGCACGAAACTGTTTTTTGATAGCTTTCCATGGCTAGTGTGAACCAAGTAATCCAGGGAGCGTGGGAGACAACAATGAAATCTAGTATACAATGCAAAGCAGGCAGGAGCAATAATAACTTAATGTTTAGTTTGGGGGCTTTTGTTTTCTTTTTTACAGGGAAAATCAATACTAATAATATACTCTAGGGAAGCTAACACCTACTTAGAGGTTTTAACATTATAACAATCCAAAAGGTTAAGTTTCAAAATAACCAGACTTGTAGCTGAATATTTTGCTGCATTTTGGCATTATACCACTATGAGTTTTCTATATAGTGCCAGATATTACCATGTCATAAGAAATTAAAGCCGGGGGTAGGGGATATACAACTCTGTCTTATGGTATAATCTTTTGCCACGCTAATTCTCCCTTCCTTGCCTAAAACAGGTTAGATGATTTCTGATGAAACGCTATGAGTTTTATAAATAAGTTTATTTAGCTCTTTGATTGCTGATGTCAACCTGGTCTGTCCTCTGTGCTCTAGCAGTGTCATTTTTCTAAGATCAGTAAGAACTTATCTTCTGATGGCAGACCGCCCAGTTTTTGCCAACTTTGAAATTAAAGGAAATTTATTTGAAGCCAGCTGGGGTCTTGAACAGAGTGAGATAAGTTTATAGACAGGAGGGAGAAGCCAGTGTGGCCAGGATGCCTAGGCTAGCAGGAGAGGCCAGAGAGGCAGGCCAGCCACAGCCCCGTAGACCATGTGCCAGAACTGTTGTGTTTACTATGGTTGCCCACTGACCCAAAATAAAGTTTGCCTGTATGGAAGACAGTTTAGCTGTTAGATGGAAAATGGTTTGGAAAGAAGGGAAACATGGACCAGGGTCCTGGTGGAAGCAGAGAGACCCAAGAAGAGACTACTGCAGTAGTACAAGTCAGTCCAAGCTCCTGAGTCTCATGTGGGTTTGTGTTCTAGATGTATGTAATGACTTACTTGGTAATAGAGTGAGTACAGGGAATAAAGTAGAAGGAAATGTTAAGAATGATCCTCAGTTTTATTACTTGGTGGAATGATGAGCCATTTACTGAGATGAGAAAAATTGGAGTGAGAACAAGATTGGAGGGAAGCTTGAGAATTCACTTTGTGGCTGTTTAGTTTGAAATTCCTATGAGACATCCAAGAAGAGGTGTCAGATGAGAAAGTTGGATATACAAATCTCAACTTCAGAGAAGGATTTTGGGTTGGAGATAAATATTTGGTGGTTTTCCGCCTACAGCTGATGAGTGTATATATTTGTATGTACATTCATTTCATTTGCTAATTTGAATAAGTTATGTTTATCCATGGTGCTAAGCTCCGGAGGGGATAGAGGGCATCCAGTGAAAGGCAGATACCCCCAGCTCTCCTCGTCATAGGTGATATCTCCTACGCCTCCTCTCTGCATCCCCTTCCAGAAGTTGTTCCGTCACAGCTAGAAACTATATAAAGCCAGAGCGATGGACAAGATTACATTAGAGAAACAGTAGACACAAACAATAGAAGAAATGTTAGCACTAAGATCTAAAGTCCTCTAGCACTGGAGAAGGGATAGAAACAGGG